CCTGAAGAAGGGTATTTGTGCCCGAAAGCTTGCAAAGAACAATCTTTCCAACTACAGAGTTGGTCTAATAAAGGCTGTCACATTTACCTAAAGAACCTTGTTTGCCTATGCCCTTAAACCACCAGGCTATAACCAACCCCCTGCACTCCAATCCCTGCGGAGAGGGGAGGTATCTCTGGAATTTACAGGCTCAAGAAAGGAAGAGCTGTCCAAGGGCAGCTACCTGCACGCGCCAGCTCTATCCACACTCAGGTTCTGAAGAATCCCAGCCCCAGCTGAACTGCAGCTCATTTTCCATTATGAAGTTGTGCTCTGGTCATACAAGCTCAGACCTCTAAGCAGGGCTAGTTGTCAATTTACAAAGGTTCATCTTCCTGAGGTCATGGCACCATGGCAGGGAGTTCGATGCTAGGACCTTTGTGATGCCATTAGGTGGGAAAAGGCAGGCCCTTCATGTCATGCCTTTCTCCTGAAACCTTCCAAACAGGCATAAAGACAGGTGCTTGCTTCTGGCATGCAGCAGGCCTGACAAACTGACCATTTCTGCCATGCATCTGGCCTGGCAAACAGACCGTTTCTCAGCCTTTGTTCCCTTCGGCTGCCTCGTATCCACTGGGCCCCTTTTCAAACTCTCTCAAAAACACCAGGCCCTATGCCCAGCTAGCCCCTCACAGGTGAGGCTTTCTTGACCTCAGTGGGTGAGGAAGGCACCCTCTGCCCAAACCACTGCTGTGGAGAGAGGCCCCGTTCAGAGCCTGATGGAAACAACTCAGCTGAACAGGGCGAGGTCGTGCACTCGGCCCCATGCCAGCCATGGGTAGCCACCGAACTGAGCCCATAAGGCAATTTGCACATACGCACAAACAGCACACGTCACCGAACGGGTCCGCCATAGGGGCGCATGCGCACTAGGAAATCAAGACAGGGCTCCACCCTCCAACACCTGGGGGGAGTGAGGGGCGTGCGCGCATGCGCAGCCCGCGTCCCTCACATTCTCTTTCTCGAACATGCTGGTGCGCCGCTTGGCCCCACCCCCCGGGAGCGGCGGCTGCTTCAGCTTCTGTCCCGGCTTCTCCATGTGGCCGGCGAGATGTTGAGGGCCCGCACCACCCCCTCTTCCCCTCTAACCGCCGTGCGGATCAACTAGCCCCAGTGCCCGCCTCCGACTCCGCCTCTCCACTCCCCCCCCGCGCAGCGAAAGCGAGGCTTTCCCGCCCACGGCGTGACGTTTGCTGCAGCGACGGTGAAGCGTCACTGATTGTGCGCCGGAAAGAGAGGCACCCGGAAGTAGAAGGTAGATGGGGGGAGGGGGTTGTGGTTCCCCCCTCCCACCCATGAAGACAAGCCGGGGCCAGAGTAATATGATTGCGGAGGGTAGTGCTGTGCCCCTCACTCCCGACCATAGCCCCCCTACCCTTCAGGTGCCCCACACTCCTGACCCACAGCCCCCGCATCCCCTTATTCTCCCCAGCCCTGCAGGGTCTCCCAGCTGCCCCACCCCTCCAAGCAAGGGCATACAAGGCTGGGCCATGCAGCT